TCAGATAGGCTCGCTTTGCATTCTCAAGTTTGCCTGGGAGATGAATTGGCGGTTTAAACAACTTAAAAAAGGGCAAGAAACACAGACAGCCCACCAATGCTACCAGTGCTTCAAGACGGGCACCTCATGCCCATCGCGCCGAATCTTTCCGTCTTCGCATTGAACAAGATGATCAGTTCTGAAGTTTTCATACAAAAGGGGTGGAAATGGAACCCCTTCCTGCACGGGGAAAAAGAAAAAGAAGACAAAAACAAAAACCAACAGAAGACCCTCCAATGATGAAAAACTTAGAAAAACTTGAAAATTGCTAAGGAAAGCCAAATATGCGGAAGCAGTTGGTTGGCGAGTAGTGTCCCGGGCTGGGTTTGAGAGTGACGGTGCTGTTGAAGTATTAGGGCGAAGAAAGGTGGTGTGAGAAGTGACTCTTGAGTTTTGTGTTAACGACTCTCTGGGGTCTGTAAGCTGCTTCATAATGTCATGCATTGTTGGTTCCAATCATTTGGATTTGACTTCGCTCCTGTGCGATCGTGTTCTTACCTTACCTCTGAGTTCTGGCGGTGGGAGGGTGAAACGAAGAAAACACGTTTTCAAATCGTCCACCATTGCACGGATTTGACAGCGATGCACACAAAATTCTTGCTTTTTGCGTCCAGGTAAGGGGGGGGCAAGAGGAGGGGGTTGGACCTGTCTCTAGTCAGACCCAAGAGGACTGTGAAAACATGAACAGCATTATTCTGCTTCACACTTGTGAATCTTCAAGGTTCCCGTCGGTCAGGTCAGTTTTTTTCTTGTTGCTTTTTTTCCGTCTCTAATTGGTTAGGTTACCATCCCGGACGTCCGGGACCCATTTCTGTTCCGGGTTGTCCGATCGAACAACTTCCCCGGTCGTCCGAGCGGGGCCCAGTGTCCGGGCTGGTTAAAAAATCGCCTCTGGGTCCGATCGGGTTTTTGGGCCTGCGGTGACGTAGTTTGGGGTACGTAGCACCCTTGGGAAGGTTGGCCGATTTTTGTGAGGGCGGTAGGGCCTCCGAAAACGAAAACGGAAATGGCCCGCTCTGGGCCGTCTGATCTGTCGAGATCTACGGCCCACATCGGGCCAAATTCGAATTCGAATTGAGCCCCCGACCGCCATCTGCCCGCGTGCAACTTGGGCACGTTGTGGGAGTTGGACATTGCTGAAATCGCGCGCCAACGGCCACGACCCAACACGTGTTCCAACCCCCGTACAAGTGCGTACCCTCCTCCTCCCTCCTCCATGTCTCTCTCATCTCTCTCCTCCTCCTCCTCCTTTTCCTCCTCTTCTTCCTCCCCGTCCTCCTCCTCATCCTCCTCCTCGTCCTCCTCCTTTCCCTCCACCTCTTCCTCTTCCTCCTCCTCCTCTCCATCCACTTCCTTCTGCTCCCCCTCCTCCTCCTCCTCCTCCTCCTCCTCGTCCTCCACCTTCTCCTCCTCGTCCATCGCCGCCGACCTCCTCCTCCCCCTCTTCCTCCTGCTCCTCCTCTTCTTCCTCGTCGCCGTCCTCCTCTTCCTCCTCATCCTCTTCTTCTTCCTCCTCCCCGTCCTCCACCTACTCCTCCTCCTCCTCGTCCATCGCCGACATCCTCCTCCTCCTCTTCTTCTTCGTCGTCATCCTCCTCCTCTTCTTCTTCCTCCTCCTCCTCCTCTTCTTCTTCCTCCTCCTCCTCCTCTTCTCATTCTTCACCGTCCTTGTCGCCCTCCTCCTCTTCTCAATACTCATCGTCCTCCATCTCCCCCTCCTCCTCCTCCTTCTCCTCCTCTTCTTCCTCCTCGTCCTCGTCCAAGTCCTCCTCCTCCTCCATCACCGCGGCGTACTAATTTTCCTCCATCGCCACAGCCCCCTGTATCTGCTCTCTTTTCTGCTCCTCCTCCTCCTCCTCCTCTTCGTGTTCTTCTTCCTCATTCTCCTTCTCGTCGTCCTCCTCCTCTTCATCCTTCTCTTCTTCTCCTTATTCGCCATCCTCCTCCTCCTCCTCTTCCTGCTCTCTTTCCTCCTCCTCGTCCATCGCCGCGGCATCCCGATTTGCGTCCATCGCCGCGGGCCGCTGCTGCTTCCTTTCCTCCTCCGCCGCCTCCTCCTCTTCCTCTTCTTCGTCATCGCCATCCTCCTCCTCGCCGTATTGTTGTTCTTCCTCCTCCTCCTCCTCCTCCTCTTCCTCCTCCTCTTCTTCTTCCTCCTCCTCCTCCTTGTGTTCTTCTTCATCCTCCTCCTTGGCGTCCTCATCGTCGTCACCCTCCTCCCCTTTCAATGCCTCCTCCTCCTCCTCCTCCCCGTCCTTCTTGTCCTCCTCCTCCTCATCCTTATCATCGCCGCCTGCGGCTGTGTCGCCATCCCTACCCGCCCAAGTCCCCATATCCCCTTCTCGCCATCGTCCTCTAGGTCGTTGTCTATACTCCCCTCCCCGTTCTTTTTTGTTTTTCAATCATCAATCAATTAATCAATCAATCAATCTATCTATCTATCAATCAATCTATCAATCAAAATCTGATCTAATCAATAGATTGGATTGGATTGGATCTTGAAAACCCAATAGATTTTCAAGATCCAATCCAGCTTATTGATTGGATAGGATTTTGATTGATTGATTGAAAAGACAAGAAAGAGGGCCGGCAGACGCGACTAAGTCCAACTCTCTTCTTCTCCCTCCTCCTCCTCCTCCTCCTCCTCCTCCTCCTCCTGCTCTTCTTCCTCCTCCTCGTGCATCGTGGTGTCCCGATTTGCATCCATCGCCACGGCCCGCTCCTGCTCCCTTTCCTCCTCCACCGCCGCCTCCTCTTCCTCTTCGTCGTCGTCGCCATCCTCCTCTGCGTATTCTTCTTCCTCCTCCTCCTCCTCTTCCTCCTCCTCTTCTTCTTCGTCCTCCTCCTCGTGTTCTTCTTCTTCATCCTCCTTGTCGTCCTCGTCGTCGTCGCCCTCCTCCCCTTTCAATTCCTCCTCCTCCGCCTCTACGTCCTTCTCGTCCTCCTCCTTATCCCTACCGTCATCTCTCCCCTGCGGCTGTGTTGCCATCCCTACTCGCCCGACTCCCCACATTCCCTTCTCACCATC